CAGGAGAAAGAACCTAAAGACTTCATGTGGTTGGGAAGGGTGGCAGACAAGAAGAAAAGAAAACAACATGTCCAGGCCCCTGGTCTACATAGAGAATGGTGCTTTGTCCAAGGAAACGTATGAGTTTCTGATTCTCCAAGAGCAGTTCAGTGGTGAGGTTGATGGGAAGACTTTCTTCCCAAAGAAAATGAATCTTCCATGTGGGATCTAGGAGAGTGACTGGGTGTGCCAAATATGCCCAGGGTCCTGCCCTCAGCACTAGATTTGATGGGGCCAAGAGGGTCTAAACCCCTTGCTAACATACCACTTCTTTGTTTAACTCCTTTAGCTTCCCAGCCCTTTGAGGAGGGACCATGAGAACAGAAATTACTTTATGAAAAGCTACTTCTGTTCTTGCTTTTCCCTCACATATACTGACAGTTTATTTCCCTGACCTCCCAGAGGGCTGAACCCTTTCACCTCTCTGCTGCCCAGCCTTCTCAGTGGACTTGCCCCTCCTAAGCAGAGAAGGCCTGTGAGGTTGCTTTTTGCTGGAAAGCCTGGCAGAGCCGATTACCACCCTCTGCTGCTTAGTGCTTGGTTGCCTCTTGCAATAACCAGCTCTTAGTTGTTCCATTTCCCTGGGGCTTTCCCATTTAACACATGGAGCCCTTCCCCCAAGAAGGCTGCTTCCTTGTTTTAGAGGAAGGTATTGCCTTTGGGAGATGGGGACATTGGGACCTCAGCAATGAAGACCCTTGGGAAGTACTAGGAGGAGTGGGGAAAGGAGGCAAGTTGGGCAGGGTATGGCCTACTTCCATAGGCTTTTCTTTTTTCAGGTTTGATGTAAGCATGGGCTTGCATCTCCCGGTACATTACTTTTACTTATTGTGAGATAGCCTGGCACTAGTAGGCAGGTAAAGTCACAAATTTGGTGTTTTTTCACCTTTTGACTATTGACTTAATAGCTCCTCTTGCTCTGCTTGGAGGTACTTCCTGCCTCTGATATGGAGCAGAAAGAAATGGAGCCTGACTTGAACGAACTCAGCTCAGACTTCTAAGGATCAGCACTCTGGGGGCCATTTTCTACACAGGCAAATGGAATTGCTTTTCCTATAACATCCAAACTGATGTGGTTGCTGCTGAAGGAGGAGGCAACAACAGGGTCCTGCAGTACCCACGGGGTGATGCTACTTCTGCATGCATCTATAGGACATATGACATCTAACATGATATGAGACGTGGCATGTGAGACAAGACTTGGCATGTGAGACATAGGGTCACTGGAGACCCTCTGGCTCAGAGGGGAGAGACTGAATTGGACTGAACCTTTCCCCTGTTCCCAGCACGTTTCTGACATAGCCCTCAGTCACTGAGGGAGTCCCCCCCAGGGTTGGAGAGGCACATTCCCTTGGGACAGAGGCTACAGGTTGTAGCTTTTTTTTCCCCTGTCCCCCAACCCCGTCCCCACCTCCACTTCAGAACATGGCACCCCACCCATCGGCCAAGTGTTAAGTGATGTGCTTATCCTCGAGAGCAGCTCCGGGTGTCTTTTTAAAACGTAGAGAAAACCAAGTAAGGTGACAGTTTAAGGAAAAAAAATATATATAGAATACCAGAAATGCAGTTTACCCGGAGAATTTTTTTCTCCCCATTTTTGTTTTGTTTTTACTCAATGACACAATTTTTAGTTTTATTTCCTGATAGCAAAAGGAAAAAAAAAAAACCCACCCTCAAAAAGGCCAAGGTCCCATTCCCTGTTGTCAGTGATTTGTTTGTCTTTCTGATAGGTTGAAAATTGTGTAATAAACTTGATGACGCTGTCAATCTTTTATACTGCATTGTATTTTTTTCCTTTTGTAACAAAATATTTTTAAATAATAAATGGGGTGTGAGCTGTTTTATGGATTCTGCATTGCATAGATTTGTTGAGGTGTCTGGGGCATGGGCATGGGCTTATGTAGACACTGCAGGAAGGCAGTGAAACCCCAGGTTCTCAGCCAGAATTGCGTGTTTGGCAGTGGCTTCTCTATGGCTTAGTTCACTGTGGTTAGCCTCCTAGATGTCTAGTGCAAACCTTTGAAGGCATCCCTTGAGGTTTAGCTTTTTTCCTTGGCCAAACAACTTGGTTAAAGAAAACTTCCAAGTCATTCTTTACCCTTCAAGATTCCTAAGACATTTTCAGTGCAGATTTCTTACCTTGTACAGTCAGTTCCAATGTCATCAAATCCAGAAAGGAAAGAATCCTCCAACAGGAGTTAGAAAACCTGATTGCTAGTGCCTACTTCCACATCTATTTAACCATGGACAAGCAACATAACCTTGGTCTTTTTCATCTATAAGATGAAAATAATAGCTATTCTCTGCCTTCCACAGGGATGTTTTAAGAATCAGAGATAACATGTGAATTTATTTTGTAAACTACCTAAATATGAGGAAGTAAGTACACATCAGAAAGCTTAGAAGTGTGGGGTGATCTTGGGATTCCAGAAAAGCTTTTGGCTTTTTAGAAAGCCAGGTGAAGAGGAGGGTTAGATGATAAAAAGGTGACCCACAGACCACATGTGTACTGGTATCAAAAAAGGCAAGATCAGTGTAAAAATAACTTAGGAGAGGGGAAATGCCCTAGAGGGTCTATGATTATGTGAAACTTAAAAGGAGGGGGAAAAATAGTTGGAGTGCCTGTCAGAATGTAAACCAGTGTTCTCAAGTTGTGTTCCATAGTCACCTGCACTTCATTTATCTGCCATGTGTGCTAACGGGCCTGTTCCTGGGCCGCATCAGTCTCTGTTTAAGGTCTGAGTCTGCTTTTTATACCCCAGGTGACTTATGTAAACTAAACCATGAGGACTACTAGCTTAGAGATGTAAATACATTCAGTTTTCATCCAGGAGGTACCATGGTGGTGTAGAAAGGGAAAGAACTTAGGTTACTCTAGGTTCAAATCCCAACTCTTTATTTCTAAGCTAAATGCCCCTTGGACACCCATGACTTTCTGAGGTGATTTCCTTCTGCCTCATAGGATCATTACATGGATTAAATATGTTCTGCCAGGCACCGGATGACTATTAGTCTCCTATGAGTTGCTGCTGTGGTATGGAGCTAGAAACCTGAATCTGTGTGTCCTAAATGGTTCATAAACTTGGGCAGGCCTCAGCTCATAGAGGTGGCCACTACAGTCACTTGCTGGTTCTAGCCATGAGTGTGAGTAGCCTATACCAGCTTGTGACCAGGGCCTGCTCCTTTGCTCAGCCCTCTCCCGTCCCAGAATGTTGGTGCCTCCGGTCTACATGGGCTGTAGTAGCTTTCCTTGACCCTAGTGAGCACAGCCTCTGGCCACATTAACCCTGAAAGACTACACTGATTCCTATCCTCCACTGCCTCCATTTCTGTTGTATGATGTTCTACTCTGGTGTGACTAACTGCGTCTACACATGTGACTCCAACAAGTGGCTTCCTGAAATACAAGCCTCAGGAAGAACGAACTCAGGGAGCAACCCACCAGAGGCACAATGCACTAAACTTCCACATAACTATGAAGTAAATGAGAGGACTTCCTAATCATAGCCGCATTTTCTTTTTTTTTTTTAAGACTGGGTCTTGCTCTGTCACCCCAGCTAGAGTACAGTGTTGCAATCGTAGCTCACTGCAACCTCGAATTCCTGGGCTCAAGCAATCCTCCTGCCTCAGACTCCCAAAGTGCCGGGATTATAGGTATGAGCCATTGTACCTGGACATAGCTGCATTTTCAACCGTTATCCTCATCCTCAATTGGCAACTGTTGAGCAATGGAATTTACCTGATCCAGACTGAGACTCCTAAGGCAAGGCTTCTAGTGCCACCTGTTAATAACCAGTTGTGTGGTGCTGGCTATGTTACTTCCTTACCTCTAAGCCTGCAAAGTGGGGGGTTGGACTTAGTTGATCACTAATGTAAGTCCCTTCGTATTCTAACGTGAGTTTTATAAGCCACTTCTAAACATCCAACTGAGCCTTCCATTCATTGATCTGTGTTGCTGGAAGAGTACCTTAACCACTGAACCTCTAAATGAACTAGGGAGGCCATAGAGAATGGGCTCCTCTCGAGTTTGATACCAGTGATTTCTTCAAAGCTGGGCTAGACAAAGCAGCGGTGAGAGAAGCAGCAAAAAATTTGTGTTAGTAGGATTTGTGATTGGAAAATCAGTCCAGTTCCTATTGGATTTTTTGTTACAATTTCATAGTTGATTAGACCTGTCTACTATAGTTTTTCGGTACATCTCAAGGGCAACTGGGAGCCAAGGGCACAGAGGGATAGAAAATAAGAAAAGCATCAGTGCTTTGGACAGTGCAGGCCCTCACAGGATGAGAATGAGCCTGATCACAGGAAATAAGCCAAGTTAAAAACCAGCACAGAATACTTAATGGTCAGTTACATTTTACTTTGAGTAAGAGTAGATATTCTATGGTTCATCTGAGAGCAGAGAGAAGGGCCTCAAGGTTTCCTAAAGTGGATTCTCGCATGGCTCCTGGTGGCTTCTTGCATGGCCACTACCAAGGAAGATGAACAATTTTAAAGATGGTTACTTGGAGAAAGAACTGATACACTCATCTAAAGTGATGGTCCTCAGCTTAAAAAAAAAAGTATGTGTTCCTTTTATGTTAACTCAAAATTTTAAAATAAATGACCAAAAAAAAAGCATCAAAATTTTGGTAAGTTTAGAATATGCTTCTTCCAGGTACACATAACCCACCCTAGAAAGGAACCGACAATTATCTGTAAGAAGAATGACACAAGATGCTGACTCAGGGGCACAAGTGGGGCACATAAGCAATCTGTCAGGATGACAGAACTGAAGAAGATAAGAGCACAGCAGTGCCTTTAGGGCCTAATTCAGGTTGCAACTTGGGGGAAAAAGTCTTTGGTCATCTCAGCCTTTGTGTCCACAATGTACCACGAGGCACAGCCTAGAATCTCTACCCTCTCTTGAAGTGGATGAAATTCGAGGGACAGGTGCCATAAGGAAAAGGCTGCAACCCCCACAACAGAAAATACATATTTATTATAAAATAATGTTTGTTTCATGATGAGAATAGAAAAATAGCACTATGAGCTACTAAAAAAGTTCTGGAGCTCAGTCTCCTTGAGGAATGCGGTGCGAGGCTTTTGCATCACTCTGGGAGCCCACCAACACGAGGCTCTCCGTGCTCATGCAGGACAAGTATGGCACAGCACATACAGGGGTCATGTGGCTCAAGTCCTGCTGGAAGCCCAAGGAGCCTAGATGGTCCACACAAGATGTTCTAGCCACGACGATCAAAGAGGTGAACTGGAGGTCAGCAGGGAATTGGTTCTGAGAAGGGCCAGGATGGGGATAGCCTTGCCCCTCCCTATACTGGAGTGCAGAAGAGTCTCTTGGGCTGATGGTCCTGGTTTAGAAGATGGTGCCCACTGGCCTTATGCTAGGTTGGTTGCCCAAATGTCTGTGCTGCACAACCTTTCCCAGGACAACTTGACCCACCAATTCTCACTGGTGTGACTGAAGTACCAGAAGTATGTGTGGTGTCTGCCCGATGGGCTGCTGGCTGAAATTTTTGTACTTCAAATCCTGTCCATACTGATGGCAGAAAGAAAGAAAGAAAATGTTAAAAGACCAGTGAACAAGAGCAGCTGGCCTGGACTGTTCTATATTCCAAACCTCTTGGCCCCAAAGAACAAGGAGAATATCTTCCCTAAGTGGGAAATTTTCTGCCTACCCTAAATGGAAAAGGCAGTCCCACAGACACTCCTTTCCCCCTCTAGAAAAAAGGTTTCTAGATCCCTCAGGCTTCAGAAGAACAATGAATCCCTCCCTGGGAAGGGAACCCAACCCTCTGGTGAAGGGAAATGGTCCCTCAGCAGCAGTACCTGGAGAAAGCGGCCAGGGTGAGCACCTCAAGTAGCAGCTCTGAGCCACAGAAGAAGAGCAAGATGCCGTTCATGATGGCTTCCAGGCGGAGCACGTAGGTCTGCAGCAGCAGGTAATAGGAGGCCATCATGGCAGATGGGAAGGTCAAAGCCATGCTAATACCAAGTGACATCTTTTGCTGGCAGAGGTTTCCCTTTGTACCTGTCAGACACAGCCCATGGAGTCACCTCCAAGTGGTCTGCTTTCCCTGGCCACAAGGGAAAGATGGGTGAGATGTGATGGGCTGGTGGGGCAGAGAAAAATGATCCTGAATGGGGATGTGCAGATGTGGAAGTGAGGTCCCACTGTACTAAAAATTTGAGGCTTTGGGAAAGTTACAAGACTGGAGTCATTTATTCCAGAGGTCCTGCTTCCAGCCTGGCTGCTACTCAAGGGACAAATGATATTAGGAAAAAAAATTCTAATTATAAAAATAATATATAATCATTGATAACTTTTCAACTAATATAGAAAATGATTGTAGAGACTACAGAAAGTAAAAGGCCTCCATGTCCCCACCCTCTGAATTGTTATTATTACTGAATGTTGTATATTGTTTCAGATTTTTTTATATATGTATACTCACATATTACTGTTTATTGTAAAAATAGAATCATATTCTATATACTGTTTTACAACTCATTTTTTCCCACATTTTTCCAAACATATAACTACCTTAATTCTTTTTTTTTTTTTTTGAAACAGAGTCTTACTCTGTTGCCTGGGCTAGAGTGTTGTGGCGTTAGCCTCCCTCACAGCAACCTCAAATTCCTGGGCTCAAGTGATCCTCCTGCCTCAGCCTCCTAAGTAGCCACCATGCCCAGCCCTTAATTCATTTTTATTTTTTTTTGAGACAGAGTCTCACTTTGTTGCCCAGGATAGAGTGAGTGCATTAGCCTAGCTCACAGCAACCTCAAACTCCCGGGCTCAAGCAATCCTCCTACCTCAGCCTCCTGAGTAGCTGGGACTAATGTGCCACCATGCCTGGCTAATTTTTTCTATAATTATTATTTGGCCAATTAATTTTCTTTCTATTTATTGTAGAGACAGGGTCTCGCTCTTTCTTGCTCAGACTGGTTTCGAACTCCTGACCTCAAGCAATCCACCTGCCTCGGCCTCCCAGAGTGCTAGGATTACAGGCGAGAGCCACAGGCAATGAATTAATGCCCGGCCTTAATTCATTTTTAATGGTTATGTAGACTCTATTGGATCAATACCATAATTTATTTAACCCTGTATAATACAGATGTTTAGGTTGTTTCTAGTGTTTTGATATTATAAAACTTGTGGCAATAAACATCTTCATACAGCTATCTTTGCATATCTATGGAAGTATGTGTTTTTTCAATCCAGTTTTAGAAGTGAAATTGTTAGGGCTAAAAGTACAAATTTTACATAGTACTTATTTTTTTTTCCTGCCCTTCTTTTGCTCACCCTTTGCTGTGACAATGGGTCCGGTTGTCATCTGTGGCATATGTATCATGCTCTGTAAACCTATATCTTGCTCTTGCCCTATAATCCAAGCTTTCTCTCCTCAATAAACCTCATTTTCGTGCTTGCCTTAAAAAAAAAAATTTACATGGTAGTAACTATTATCCAAATGGTTGTACTAATTTATATTTCCACAGAAGCATATAAATAACCTGTTCCCCACACCCTCTCTAATACTGGGTATTGTAAATTATTTTATTTTTTTTTCCTGCAGTGCTCCTGTTTAGAATTGTAAATATTTTTATCTTTGCAAATCTGATAGGTGAAAAATATTACCTTGTTTCAATTTGCTTTTTACTTATTTATTTATTTAAAAGACAGGGTCTCATTCTTGTTCAGGCTGGCCTTGAACTTCTAGCCTCAAGCGATTCTCCTGTGCAGTCTCCCAAAGTGTTAGGATTACAGGTATAACATGATGCCCGGTCAGAATTTGCTTTTTACTAGTGAGTTTGGGCATCTTGTCGAGTTTATTGGTTCTCTGTAATTATCATGTGACCTGCCTATTAGTGTCCCTTACCAATTTTTAAAATTACTTTGTCTTTTCCTTAGTGATTTATGTGAGCCTTCGTAAATGTGTTGCAAGTATATTTTTCCTCAGTTTGTGCTTTAACATTGTTTTCAGGGATGAGATATTCTAACTAATAAGGAGTTTGCTCTGTATTTCAGGGGATATAAAACCCATCCTACAGAAATGTCAGAGAAGTAGAAGGGATGTTAGTGCTAATTTGTGCAGGCATCCACTGCTGGCCCTGGACATGGAGTTGCAACTGAATCTATTCTCCCAGCAAACCAGTGGGAGGAACTATGCATTCTTGTAGCAATGACACTATTGGGAAGGAATCCTTTAATATCCCAGGCTATTGCCCACCTCTAGCACTACAAAGCAACAATCAAGTAAATCTTGACCCAAAATACAAAGCAGCAACTTGAAACTTAAGATAGCAAGTAATGGGATATACCACCAGACCCAATCTCTGATAGTGAACCTAGATTATGTACTTTTCTTGTTAATCAAGTTACAGATACCAACTCATCTCATAAGGAATGGAAATGCTCTCTGGACAACACTCACCAAAAAACAGTCGAATTACTTCAATTCCAAGATAAAGGAGGAGCATCACCACATCCAGTACTAGGTTGGCCGTTGGATATGGTAGCAGGAGACCTGCCAATACAAAAGCCAGAGTTTGCAAACAACATACAACAGCAACCAGGAGAACTGCCACACTTGGGAATAAAGAGGACATCAGTCTCAGCTTTCCATGAACTAGTTAGTGAGATCAGAGCATTATTACAGCTGCAGGATACATTCACTCATAACGCAAGTACATCTGTTAGAGGCAGGCTCATTATCCTGACATTTCACTCTGAACTCTAAAAGTCTGTGGGGACTCCACTCTTCAAAATAAATGATTGGATGTACATGGGTACCCAGGACATCATCAAAGAGTTCCTGAGTGTCACCAATGGGCTTAACTTGGGGTTCAGCAAAGAGAAGTGATGGAGGAAGAGTCAGGATGGAAGCCACCTGATGAAGAGACTTCTGCCTCACAGTGAAAAAGAACTGCAGAGGGCAGAAAAGAAGGAAAAATAAGAAGGTTCTTGGAGGGAGCTGGCTCTGGGCTGAAGTGGGGAAACAATGTTGGGGCAGGGGTCGCCAAGCCCCAAGCCTTACCTTTATATAGAAATATGAAGAGCTCCAGCAGGAAATAGGTAGCATAATACCACCCGTTTAGAAAGAACAGGATTTCCAAGGGGGTTGAGGACAATCTTTTACCTGAAAAGATGAGCATACAGAAGCGGATGGGCGGGAGGGCGACTCAAACTCTGTTCCTTGTTCGGTGTCTTAACTTGGAGAAAACACGAGGTCACAGCTAGTGGGACGAGCCACTTGGTAGGGCACTTCTGATTGCTGATAATGAGGTGGGGGGGTTAAGGGGGTGGGCGCGAAGGAGGCTTCCTTCACTCCCCTTCTTTCCCAGGAATCGCCGTCAAACTCGACTCTTTCGGATTCAGGGGTGAAAGTCAAGCGGGAACTTAGAGGACATCACAGCTGAAAGGGTCCTCAAAGATCCAACCAACCCCGTCACTGTCTAGGAGGGAAAACTGGGGCACAGAAACCAGCACTGGCCCATTCGATGCCAGCCTAGAATAGGCCCAGACAAGGATTTGGGGATACTTAAGACCCGCACCTTGAGACCTTCAGGCGCCCAGGGTGGGCGGGGCTGCGAAACCCCTCTTTGGGCAAGGGAGGAGCGATGTCCCTAACATTCAAGGATGGAGGGTTGAGGTCGAGCTCTGGTACAGAACGGGGCAGGGGGTACGGAAGGGAGAAGGGCCAGCGACTCACACACCTCGGGAATCTCACCTGGCGCCGCCATCTTCAGTCCCCATGGAAACTGCGTACGCGGCACCAGCCGCTCCCGGAGCAGCGAGGCGCTGCCGGAAGCGGAGACGGAGCGGCGCGGGCTGTGGCCCTTCTGCCAGCCTGTGGCACTCTATGGTCAGCGGGCGGGGGCGATCTCGGGCGGACAACTAGTGGCTTTGGTTCGAAAGTCCTTTCTCCCAACCTAGGGGTGAACGGTGACCACCCACGAAGCCGTCGTCCGCAGGACCCCGGGGCAGGGGCAGCTCTTGGGCTTCCCCCGCCCCCGGGTTACAGGGCGGTGGGCAGAAGTGACCGGTTATGGCCGTGTGATCAGAGGATTCGCACATAGGCTCTACTCCCACAATTCTCTTTTCCTCTAAAAATGAGAAATGGTTCTTTGCAAATGCCTGGTGAGGTTTAGCACCAGGTAGAGACCAAAATGAGTCGGAAATAGAGCCACCTTTCCGACAAATAAGAACGAGGGAAGATGACCCCTAAAGTGACCCATAAAGTGCAGTGGGAGTTGAGAGGACGAAGTACAGTACTCCCAGGTAGAGGCTGAAGGGAGTTTCCAAGAGATGGCCTGTAAATTTGCAGCAGTAAAAACCTGTTGCTGCACGGCAGGGGAATGCAAAATGAATGGGGTTTTGAAAGGCGGACTTGGCTGTTAGCCCACTGTCAGTCAGGGTAAATAAAGCAGGGAGACAGATGGGACGCTCAAACCAGGTAATTTGAGGAGAGTGACACCTTTAAGGAAAGTGCTGCACCCCTGGCTAGTTGGGATGGAATGGGGCAGAAAGGCAACTCGCTGAGCCTGGACGGAGCAGTGGGTGTGTAGAAGGCCTCCTACCGGCAGCTGGTGGACAGATACCTGCCTGACCTCCACCGCCTCCCTCTTGTCTGCTCTCTGCTCCTCCCTTTGGCAGAATTTAACTGCAAGCAGGAGAACAAGGAAATCCTTAAATTCATTTCTTTAGGGTCAGTCTAGCAAAGCGCAGAGCAAGGAGGGGAAGGTGGAAAGGGATTCGGATTCTGCAACCCCATCTCCATTGTCTACTAGACATGAGGCATTGTCTAATGCCTCAAGACAAGTTCCTGCTCTGATCTTTCGTTGATGAAGTGTTTATTTTCCTTAGGGAATTTCATAGGAGGCAAAATATTTACTACTCTTTCTTAAAATAAATGTAAAAAAAAAAAAGTTCCTGCTCCAAGCCTAAGATGGAAGGAAGGTGGGCCAACTGCTTGTTTTTGTAAATAAAGTTTGGGGGAAAACATTGCCATGCCCACTCATTTACATATTGTTTATTGCTGCTTTCATGCTATATGGTGAAGTTGATTGAGTAGTTGCAACAGAGACCATGTGGCCCATGGCCTTACTGAAAAACTTTGAGAAAAACTTTACTGACCCTTGTCAGAGTATGCCACAACTCCACAGATGCCAAAAGTAGACAGTGAGACTGAATTACTCACAGCACAGCAAACAGCCAGAACATTGGCATGGTAGCCTCGTTCCCCTACCCTCAAGTCCTATGAGTGACAAAATGAGCCCAGATGGTGGCACGTGCAATGGGTTATACCACAGCTGAGGAACCCAGGGCCAAGGGCTCAGCACCTTTTTTAGCAAGCATCAAATAAAGGTAGGCCCCTTCCACTGGGGAGGAAGAAATTACACGATAGTCACACCATGGTCATGTTAGACTACTTAATTACCTATGTGCTCACTGTCAGGGAACTGTCAGGCCTTTGGGTTTGGCACAGTCAGTAAAAACATGCAGGGATGCTTAGGACACATGGCCAACTCTCTGTCCCAACATCCAGTGACCTTGCTAAATAGATTATTTCTAATAGGCTTTTGTAGATTCTTTTGGCTCTTTATACACGTAATCACATCATCAGCAAATAAAGATATTTTTACTCCTTCCTTCTCAATCCCTACCCTGTAACTTCAATTTCTTTTTCTTACCATATTGCACTGCCTAGGACTTTCAGTATAATGTTGAATAGAAATGGTCATAATGGATATTCTTGTATCATTCCTAAGCTCAGGAAGAAGTGTTCAGTATTTCACCGTTAATGTGTTATAGATTTTTTTTGCAGATACTTTTTATGAGATTAACAAATTCTCTTATTTTCCTAGTTTGCTGAAAAGCTTATGATATATTTTATTAAGTGCTTTCTCTGCATCTATCAAAATGACCATATGATTTTTGCCCTTTATTCTACTAATATGATGAATTATATTCATTCCTGGAAATACACCTATTTGCTTATGATACTGTACAGAAAAAGTTGACATAGCAGGCCTGAGACTGCCATCCTTAGAAAGGCCTACTTGCAAGGTTGGCCCTTGGTTGGCATCAGGGAACTTAGAATAATTTTGGAAGGACTCCCACCAATCCACAGTTGCTCACTGTACCTAAACTGTTTGTACAGTGTGGCTTATATTGAACACCCAGTTTCCTTCTGGGAGTCTGTAATTTTGGTACATGCTAGGCAGAGGGTGCCTGTGTGATCAGTTTTTTTCCCCCTACTTTTGCTTGAGACAGAGTCTTGCTCTGTCACACTGGCTAGAGTGCAGTGACATCATCATAGCTCACTGCAACCTTAAATTCTTGGGCTGAAGTGATTCTCCTGCATCAGCCTCCCGAGTAGCGGGACTACAGGCACTCACCACTATGCCCAGCTAATTTTTCTAGTTTTTGTAGAGACACAGTCTCATTCTTGCTCAGACTGGTCCGCAACTCCTGACCTCAAGTGATTCTCCCCCCTCGACCTCCCAGAGTGCTAGGATTACAGGCGTGAGCCACTGTGCCTGGCTGACAGCATTTCACATGTTATCAGAACTCGTTGCTGGAGGAATGAAGCATGTCTTATGTGAGTACATTGGGAGAGGACTCTTGGAAGTTTGCCCCTGGTTTCCTCTGAACTTCACCCCATGTCCTTTTCCCCTTGTTGACCTTGCTTTGTATTCTTTCACTGTAATGAATCACAGCTGTGTGTACAACTGTATGCTGAGTCCTGTGAGTCCTCACAGCAAATCATCAAACCTGGGTGTGGTCTTGGGGATCCTTGACACAGATACATTATCCGTTTTATATGTCACTGGATTTTATTTGCTAATTTTGTTCAGGTTTTTACATATGTTCATGAGAAAGATTGGTCTGTGATTATACTTTCTTGGAAGGATCTTGTCAAGTTGGGTATCAGCTTGGTTAAGTTGGCTTCATAAAATGAAGTAAGAAGAGTTTCTTCTTTTGCTATTTCTGGAAGAGATTGTGTAACATTTAGGTAACATTTCTTCTTTAAATACTTGGAAGAATTCACTGATGGAGAAAGCTATCTAAACCTGAAATTTTCTGTGTAGAAAAGTTTAAAATAGATAAATTCCTTTTTTTTTTCAAGTTTCACATAGGTTTTATAATCACAGACATCAGTTATCGGGGAAATTCCTTTAATATATATAAGACCCTTCAGATTTTCTGCTTCTTAAGTAATCTTTGGATAAATTTGTTTTTCACAGATTTTCTCATTTTGTATACATTTCCAAATGTGTTGGTGTGAAGTTTTTCATAACATTCCTCATATTTTTTTTTTTTTTTTGAGACAGAGTTGGCCAGGTAGAAGTGGGCCATGTGCAGCCTAGCTCACAGGCAAACCTCAACTCCTGGGCCTCAGCAATCTTCTGCCCTCAAGCCTTCCCAAATAGCTGGGCCTAACTGGGCATGGTGTGGCCACCATGCGCTAATTTTTCTCAATTTATATCAGTTGGCCATAATTTTTTTCTATTTTATAGGTAGAGGACCCCATCTCCTCTTGCTTAATTTAGGGTTTCGGGACCCTGAACTCTAGAATGAATCCGCCCACTTCGTTGGCCTCCCAAGGAAGACTAGGATAAGGCTTGAGCCACCCGTACGCCCTGGCCTTCCTCTCATATTTTTAATGCCTGGAGATAATTCTTACAGTTATATAATCCCCTTTTCCTCGAGTTTCTTTTTTTCCTTGGAGTATTAATGATACAGGTGTATTCACTTTTCCTTAATGTTTTAAAAAAAACGAGCTTTTTGACTTTTCACTTTATTATATTTGTTTCTGTTTATGATTCTTGCCTCATCATTTCCTTCCTTCTTCTTTATGTTTCACTTGGTGTACTTTTCTAGAATGGAAACTTCCAATTCATTACCTTTTCTAGCTTTGGTTGTTTCTTCTTTTTCTAAACAGAGTCTCACTTCCGTGCCCAGGCTAAATAGGAGGTGCCCTGGCGTCGCCTAGTACGCAAACCTATCAAACTCTGGGCTCAAAAAGTGATCCTCTTGCCTCAGTTTCCAATACTGGCACTATAGCTTGTGGAACCAACCCAATTCACCCCCAAGGGATTTTACTATTTAGTAGAAAACAGTCTCCCTCTTGGTCAGGCTATTGGTCTGGGAAACCCCTGACCTCATGATCCGTCCCGCCTTCGCCCTCCCAGAAGTGCTTAATTTTAACATGGAGCCACTGCAACTTCGCTTTTTTTTTTTTTTTTTAGACAGAGTCTTCATTGGTTGGCCGGCTAGAGGTGATTGCCGTGGATCAGCTTAGCTCACAGGCAACCTCAAATCCCTGGTTTCAAGGCAATCCTTCTGTTCAAGCCTTCCCCAGTTGCTTGACTACAGGGGTGCATTGTTACCCCACCGTGCCGGGCTAATTTTTCCTATAAATTAGTTGGGCCATTATTTCTTTCCTATTTTATGAGTAGAGATTGTCTAACTGTCTTGCTCAGCTGGTTTCAAACTCCTGAACCCCTGAGCAAATCTTGCCCGCCCTTCGCCTCCAGGTGCAGATTTAAAACAGCCGTGGAAAGGGCCACTGCGCCCTGCCATTCTTTTCAACATGAGTATTTAAGGCGAAATCCCTCTACCATGATAGGAGACATGTTGATCTTGTGCCTGATAGTAATTTATTCATGCTATTAATAATTGCCTTTTTATAGCTTCTTTAGGATTTTTAAATCATTTTCAAATAAAGGCAGTTTTACTTCTTCCAAGTCTGTATGCCTTTTATTTCTTTTTTCTTTCTCTTATTCCTCTGGCTAGGCCATCTAGATATGTGGATAGATAGGATAAGTTATCTGGTCTTTTCCCCTGATCTTAGAAAATATTCAGTCTTTCACCATTGAGTATGATGTTAATTATAGGTATTATATAGATGCCCTTTATTGGGTAGAGAAAGTTTATTCCTTCTAAGTTTGCAAAGAATTTTTATCATGAATGGGCGTTGAATTTTGTCACAGCTAGGCCTATGGAACAATCAAATATTTTTTCTCCTTTATTTTATTGATTTGGTGAATTTCACACATTAATTTTTAGATGTTAAATCATACATTCCTGGGATTAAATGCTACTTGGTCATGGTGTATTATCCTTTTTCTGTATGTCTGGACTCAGTTTGCTAACATTTTAAGAATTTTTGCATCTATGTTCATAAGGGATATTGGACCACAGTCTTCTTTCCATATGATTTCTCTGTTTTGGTATCATAAAATGGCTTGAGTTGAGAAATATACCTCCTATTTTCTGCAAAAGTTTGTGTTGGATTAATATTATTTTTTTCTTAAATGTTTGACAGAATTCATCAGTGAAGTTATCTGCACTTGAAGATTTTTTTGTGTGTGTGTGGAGAGACTTTTAATTCTGAATTCAACCTCACTTTTTTCTTGGGTCAGTTTTGGTGATTTGTGCCTTTTAGGAAATTTGTTCATTTCCTACAACTTGTCAAATTTATTGGCCTAAAGTTGTTCATAAATATACCCTTATGATTCTCTCACTATATATTAAATATATACCCTTATATATCTGTAGGAACATTGCCTTTCATTCTTTTTTTTTCAAAATTTTTTTTGAGACAAAGTTTTGTTTTGTTGCTCAGGCTGGAGTGCAGTAGCACAATCCTAACTCACCGTAACCTTGAACTCCTGAGCTCAAGCAATCCTCCCACTTCAGCCTCTCTAGTAGCTAGGACTACAAGTACGTGCCACCACTCCTGGCTAATTTTTCATTTTTATTTTCTTTTCGAGACAGAGGCTCACTCTGTTGCCGGGGCCAGAGTGCTGTGCATCAGCCTAGCTCACAGCAACCTCAGACTGCTGGGCTCAAGCGATCCTCCTGCCTCAGCCTCCCGAGTAGCTGGGACTACAGGCATGCGCCACAATGCCCGGATAATTTTTTCTATGTATTTTTAGTTGGCCAATTAATTTCTTTCTATTTTTTAGTAGAGACAGGGTCTCACTTTTGCTCAGGCTGGTCTCGAACTCCTGAGATCAAAGGATCCGCTGTTAGGGACCGACCTTCCACAGCCCCACCGGACAGAAAAGCAGAGACATAGAGGATGCAATCACACAAGAGGTTTATTTTCTGGCTAGCCAGGGTCCAAGCCCCAGAGCACCAACGCAGTGGCCACTTTCACAGGCAAGGACCCCGACCGGAACAACGGCATGCCTTTTATCCCCATGGTGCACAAGCTGCGCACAAGCCGACTACGCATGGATCATGCGTTGACCTTTAAAATGATTGGTTGCCCACTATTGCCTTTTGAAATAATTGGCGGGTTGGTTGCCCTCTATTGCCTGATAGGCCAGTTGCCCGTGCTTTAATGACCTCATCCCATAATTCCCCTTACAGGGGTGTAGCAAGCAAGCAATGACCAGAAGCAAAGGTTTGCCGTTAGCTCATTGCCCCACCCAAGTGAATTCCCGACAAGTAGAAGAATTCCTCTGCCCTTCCTCTGTCCTACAAATTCCTCTGCCCTACACCGCCTGTTTTGCCCTCCCAGAGTTCTAAGATTACAGATATGAGCCACTGCGCCCAGCCTATTATTTGTTCATTTTCTGCTTATTTCTTATCATTATTTTAATTTCCTTCTACTTATTTTGGGTTTAGTTTTTTCTTTATTTTAGTTTAAGGTGAAAATTTAGACCACTGGATTTTTTATTTTTTTGAGACTGGGTCTGGCTTTGTTGCCCAGACTAGAGTGCAGTGGCATCATCATAGCTCATCGCAACCTCAAACTCTTGGGCTCAAGCGATCCTCCAGAGTAGCTGGGACTATAGGTGTGCACCACCAGGCCTGGCTAATTTTTCTATTTTTTGTAGAGACTGGGTCTTGCTCTTGCTTAGGCTGGTCTCAAACTCCTGGCCTCAAGCAATGCTTGAGGTGAGAGGTTAACTCTCACCTGCAGGCCATTAACTTGCTTAACAGATCACTTTGAGTTGGCATACTTTTTTTTTTTTTAATTTTTTTTTAATTTTTTTTTAAGACTAGTCAAGTGCAGTAGTGAGGAGGGGGGAAAGTAGTAGAACAAGGAGTTCAATCTGTAACTGACTGTGAACAATCACGTGAGATAACTCACTACCTTCGGACCAGCCGGCATACTTTTTTTTGAGACAGTCTCACTCTATTGCCTGGGCTAGAGTGCTGTTCTTTCAGCCTAACTCACAGCAACCTCCAACTCCCCGGCTCAAGCGATCCTCTTGCTTCAGCCTCCCAGGTAGCTGGGACTACAGGCCCGTGCCACCTTGCCCGGCTAATTTTTTCTATTTTTAGTTGTCCAGCTAATTTCTTCCTATTTTTAGTAGAGACGGGGGTCTCGAACTCAGGCTGGTCTCGAACTCCTGAGCTCAAATGATCTGTTTGCTTCGGCCTCCCTCCCTGAGTGCTAGGATTATAGGCGTGAGCCACCACCATGCCTGCCCTGAGTTGGCATATTGTGGCTTGCTATATGATTTTTTTGTTTGTTTTTTTTATTTTTATTTCAGCACAATAAGGGGGTACAAGTGTTAAGGTTACATACATTGCTATTGCCTTCCCTCCTCCCTGTGGCTTGCTATATGATTAGCAGACTTCCTTATCTTAAAACATTGCCAAGCCGGGCGTGGTGGCTCATGCCTGTAATCCTAGCTCTCTGGGAGGCTGAGGCTGGTGGATTGCTCGAGGTCAGGAGTTCGAAACCAGCCTGAGCAAGAGCGAGACCCCGTCTCTACTATAAATAGAAAGAAATTAATTGGCCAACTAATATATATATAAAAATTAGCCGGGCATGGTGGCGCATGCCTGTAGTCCCAGCTACTCGGGAGGCTGAGGCAGAAGGATCACTCGAGCCCAGGAGTTTGAGGTTGCTGTGAGCTAGGCTGACGCCATGGCACTCACTCTAGCCTAGGCAACAAAGCAACAAAGTGAGACTCTGTCTCAAAAAAAAAAACAACAAAAAAACATTGCCTTCTACTGACTCCAAGCTTACAGAGAAAGTTTATTCCTTTAATCAATTGAATCCACCTATAACCTGTAGACCCCGATTTGAGATGTCCCACCTTTTCAAGCCAAACCAATGTCTACCTTCTATATATTGATTTATGATTTTACCTGCAATTCCTGTCTGACTGAAGAGTATAAAACCAAACAATGACTGGGTGCAGTGGCTCATGCCTGTAATCTCAGCACTTTGGGAGGCCGAGGTGGAAGGATTGCTTTAGCCCATGAGATAAGACTAGCTTGGGCATCATAGTGAAACTCTGTCTCTAAAAAATTTTTTTTTAATTAGCCAGGTGTGATAGCTCACACCTGTAGTTCCAGCTACTCAGGAGGCTGAGGCAGGACTGCTTGAGCCTGGAAGTTTGAGGCTGCAGTGAACTATGATCGCACCACTCCACTCCCAGCCCCTGCTGACAGAGCAAAATCCCATCTCTAAAAATAAAAAAATAAATTAAAGAGCCAAACTGTAACCCAGCCACCTTGGGTGCATCTTCTCAGGACCTCTTAGGACTATGTTCTCTAGGCCATGGGCACCCATATTGGCTCAGAATAAACTTCTTTAGGTTATTTCACAGAGTTTGCTTTTTCCATTAACAGCGTTTATGAAAAGATTCAAATCAGGCTACTGTTCATTTTTTTCACAGATAAAGATACAGTAAGTGTAGATGATGGCTTTATTAGAACTTCAGATCACTTGTTCCAATTAGAAGATAGACTGGTGCCTTAAACATTTTATTCGAATGTTGTTCCTTTTCTTAATATATGTTAAAATCTTGACATTTGATTACCTATACTGTTATTTACCTCTTTCCACAGAAATTTATTCCAGGCTCCTAAAGCAGGGGTTGGCAAACTATGGCCTGGGGGCCAAATCAAGAATATTTTGTGACATATGAAAATCATATGAAACTCAAATTTCAGCATACTTAAATAGACACATTCGTGTTCATTCATTTACATCATTTATGTATTATATTGTCTATGGCTGTTTTCATGCTTTAATATCAGAGTTGCATAGTTACAACCTCAAAATCTAAAATATTTATGATCTAGCCCTTTACAGAAAAAATTTGCTAACCCGTGTCAAAGTGTCTCTGAATAACACATTTTATAGAGAAACTCTCTGGTGTGATCAACTTCATTGAATTGAATTAATGGCCCCCATTTTTCACGTTTCCAGTATTCACCCCTTTGGCCTTGAAACTTTGTAGTACTTTTCCTCTTTGACTGTGGGCTCTGCCACATGACTTGCTTTGACCATAAGACACAGTACAAGCAAAGGCTTGAAATGGGATTGCACGCTGGGGCTTATCCTCTCTTGCTCTGCCGCTGTCATGTGGATGGATCTCGGCTAGTCTGCAGGAGGATCAACCATGTGAACCAGAGGAACCCCAGCTATCCTAGCTAAGGTCATCCTGAGTTAGCCAAGAGCCAAAGGGTCCCAAGATTGTCACAGCTGCCTACCGGAGCCACAGCTGACTGGACACATGAGCAAGGTTGGCTGAAATCAGCCAAACCCAGTCCAGATCAGCTGAAGCCCAAGATCTGAGAGCCAAGTAACTGTTTGTTACTCTATGCCACTGAAGTTTGGTGGCTTGTTACACATTATTCTGGCAATAGAAAAATGATATCATGGGCATATGAATTTTAAAAATTTCTTTTGCCAAAACAGGCAAAAGAACCTTTTTTATTCTTCTGAAGGCAGATTAAACTTCTGATAGTGAGAGAGTCTGAATGAAGCATATTAGTTTGGAACTCGAGGGGCAGGGGATGGGCATCAGAGTACATCTTGAATTTCTACAAAAATACCTTATACTCATAGTGGGGCTCAAGAAATACCTGGATTTGATCTGTGGCTCAATCTATTCACATGTCATGTAGATGCTGAAGCTAGGACTTGGTATGCCTTTTAACCATGATGAGATCCAGCTAGACAGATAAACTCTACTATTTATAGAAAAAGGAAATTTATTTCCTATTTATAAAATGTAAAAAAAGTACCTTGGGTATAAAATCTAGATGTCTAAGGTATGATCAGTCAGGAGCACATAACTATCACTCTTCACATCCTTCAGTCACTCATGTGTGGTCCAAGGAAAGTGGGGGCTGGGAGGTCCTCTAGTCCTAGGCTAAATGAAAAGCTTCACAAGGGTAAGAGCCACAGAGACCTCTATAAGAAAGAGGGGCAGAGAGAATGGACAGTATGGAGCAGGAAAGGAAGGAAAGTGGGTAGAACTGAGGTGGGAGGCAAGGAAGGAATTATGTGTTAGAGTCTGTTGGGGAACACTGTAATTTGCAAGAGGGAGGATCTTCCTTCTTGAATGCTGAACACAACTGGCCTGAGCCCTCCTAGGAAAATCCAGCTGCTTCCTGGCGCATAGGGACAACCTCTCCCTGCAGAGCAGCAAACATGGCTTCTATCAGGAAGGTAAGGCATCCATTAGTGTGACAAGAAGAGGTCACCTTCGGACTTGCATGAACTCCTTGCGTAGCCATAAAGAGTCCTGGTAGAAGCGAGGGTCGCCCAGTCTCACAGCTGTCCGTTTGTAGAAGTAACAGTATAGCACTGCCGCTGTGGATGACAAGCGGGAGAGAAGCCTTAGGGATGCTCCTGAGCATTCGTTTCAGGGTAAGAACAGAACCTAACGAGGCTGAGGGGCCCTGCCTCATGGCTTGCCACAGTCTCCCAGCAAGGGCAGAGGGCAGTAATCCCTTCTGTTCTTGGAATGGCTGTCCCAACCACCCCCAGCCAGCTGTGACAGGGCTGGGAAGCCAGGGTCAAGGGGCCCAAGTGAGGCTGGACATTGCTCTGGTCCTTACCTAGTCTCTGGAATACAAATAGCGTTTGAAGTCCGTCTGTCCAAACAAAGCTGTTGGAGTTTTTCCAGCGTAAATTCTGAAGGACATATGAGTAGACAGAGAAAGGTTAACACTTGAGGCCCTAACATCTCCAACTTGGTTAGCTGCAAAGAAGCCACTTGGTTTAAAATCATGCTATCTCACTCGCCTTCTTTCTACAACCCCAAGGAATGTTTCTTGAATGAGCTTCAAGCTCCCTTTTTTGCTATAAAGGGAATATACTTTTTTTTTTTTTTTTTTGAACAGGGTCTCGCTTTGTTGCCCAGGCTAGATGAGATGCCATGGCGTCAGCCTAGCTCCAGCAACCTCAAATCTGGGCTTGAGTGATCTTTGCCTCAGCCTCCGGTAGCTGGGACTACAGGCATGCGCCACCATGCCCGGCTAATTTTTATATATAAGTTGGCCAATTAATTCTTCTATTTATGTAGAGACGGGTCTCGCTTTGCTCAGGTGGTTTCGAACTCCTGCCTTGAGCAATCCCCGCCTCGGCCTGCCAAAGAGCTAGGATACAGGCGTGACCACAGCGCTGGGATATACTTTAACTTGAGAAGGAAGTATAATAGCTTCTTTTTTTTTTTTTTTTTTCTTTTAGGCTAGTTAAGTAAAGCAGTGGGAGTGGAAAAGGAACAAAGCAGTCTGTAACTGATTGTGATCAAACAGTTGTAAACACCACTGCACTCAGATCAGCCTGAACTAAGCTATTTATCCTCTTTCATTTCATAGCCTTTGCCAAGGAGAAATGATATACATTATCTAAGGAGTTCATCTGGTCACTGTCTTGCCTTGAAAATCTCAGGCTCAGCTCCTGTCAGATAAAGGCTCTGGTGTGCTCAGGGTTTAATCAGATTAATAGCTTTATAGTACAAAGCCAGGACCTATTTTGGCTCTAGGAACCAGAGCACAGGATCCTCTTCAGGAAGCACCTGGAGATTTTGGCACTGTTCTACTTCTTTCATAGGAGCTCTACTTCTCTCTGTGGAATCACAAAGGCAACCTAATAGAGGGTTTGGCTGAGAACGGGGCTTTAGTAAAAAAGTGATTAGAGCTGGCACAGTGGTGCACACCTGTAGTCCCAGCTACTTGGGAGGCTGAGGTGGGAGGATCATTTGAGGCCAGGAGTTCAAAGTTGCAGTGCACTATGATTGTGCCTGTGAATAGCCACTATACTTCAGCCTAGGCAACGTAGCAAGATCTCATCACTAAAAAAATAAAAATATAAAAAAAAGGTGACTAGAGAACTCTGAGATTTTAATGTGTTCCATCAAAATGAATATATGAGAAACACAGGATACAAAGAGGTGGACAAATTTGTGAAAAAGAAGAAATCTGAAACCATGAAAACGATCTGATCTGAGGGCCTATGTTAGAACCCAAAAGGAGATATCTTGGAGGTTGGTTCTCCAGTTAAGTGATAGGGACCCAACAGAAGGCATGAAGCACTCAAGGTTAAGCAGCATTCTTTTTTTTTTTTTTTTTTTTTTTGAGACAGAGTCTCGCTTTGTTGTCCAGGCTAGAGTGAGTGCGTGCGTCAGCCTAGCTCACAGCAACCTCACATCCTGGCGTGAGTGATCCTTCTGCCTCAGCCTCCCGAGTAGCTGGACTACAGGCATGCGCCACCATGCCTGGCTAATTTTTATATATATATCAGTTGGCCAATTAATTCTTTCTATTTATAGTAGAGACGGGTCTCGCTCTGCTCAGGTAGTTTTGAACTCCTGACCTTGCGCAACTCCGCCCGCCTCGGCCTCCCAAGAGCTAGGATTACAGGCGTGAGCCACAGCGCCCGGCCGGTTAAGCAGCATTCTTGTTTGGTTGTTTTCCAGAAACATCTACTGCACACTGCATTAGCCATGTGACACCAATGCCTAAGAATATCCCATTATCAATACTCATTGGCCCAAATAGCTAATGATGAAACAGATTCAACTACCTGTTTTAGCCCTGGTAGGCCTGTTTGGGGCAAAGGGTGAACTGAATGTTCCAGAAGAGTTCCTCAACTCTTCAATAAGGCCGTTCTTCAACACATAAGATTGGGCAAAGGTGCCTTATGAAACTCTCATGTTCCTAGTGCTCCAGCTCGGACCACTTTCATTTCACCTGTTTCCCATTAAGGATTGTATTTGATATAAAAGAATGATGCTGGGTTCCCAGACAGAAGATACTCCTAGCCCTTTAAAGATTCAGGAATTCAGAATTCCACTCTTACCATGACCCAGACATGAAAGGAGATGCTGAGGCCTAAGTATACAGCTGTTAGGATGATGGTCCCTTTGAACTTATGGAACAGGAGGTTGACCAGGCCAGCCTGGAAGACGAAGGTGTTGAAGAACATGAGGAAAATGATGATGATGTTGAAGAGGATTGCAATATCCTGGATGCTGCAGACATAGAAAACAAAGTACAGACAAATGGAGGCCTGTGTGAGGACCCAAGAGTTGGCCCTAAGTCCATGAGGTCAGTCCTTCCCTGTGATTAGAGTCATCTGAAACCCCCAAAGAGACAGCATTGGTTTAGAGACCCAAATGACATGAAGCTAAAATTACCCACTAGCCCTATCGCCTGAATTGCAGTCCACAGACAAGGCTTTGGTGCTCTGACACTCAACTCAGTAAACCAAGTAGGCACTTGTGAGAAACTAGTTTCCTTCCTATGTCCAGAAAAGCCAGCCCAGTCTGTCATATAACCTGGTCCTGTCGGGCAATGTCATCTAGCAAGATAACAATGTACTTAACACCCTGATCTTTGCATGGCTAGTGCCTTTGTGCCACTTCAGTCTTGGTTCAAATGTTCCCTCTTCAGAAAGATTTTCCTTTAATCCTACTACAAAAGTAGCTCTCTCCTCCCCACCCCAGCTACTCCATACCCACTGTATGATATAACTATTTGAAATTATCTTATTTTTGTTTATGTATTCATTGTCCCTCTCCATTAGAATGGAAACTCGGTGAGAGCAGGAACTTGTCAGCTTTACTACTGCAACTAGAACACTGGCTGACAGGCCAATGAATACGTGCTGAATGAAGGAAGATCATAACCATGACTGTAGTTTTCAGCTTGGAAATTGCCTCGTAGAGTCTATAAACCATTGTGGAGGATAAATGCTAACAGTTGCCATCCTATGGGATTCATATACATTATTAATATGATTGTCAGCCAGGCACGGTGGCTCACACCTGTAATCCCAGCACTTTAGAAGGCTGAGGGGGGAAGATCGCTTGAGGCTGGGAGTTTGAGACCAGCCTGGGCAACATATTGAGACCCTATTTCTACAAAAAATTTTTAAAAATTTAGGCTGGGTGCAGTGGCTCACGCCTGTAATCCTAGCTCTCTGGGAGGCCAAGGTGGGTGGATTACTCGAGGTCAGGAGTTCAAAACCAGCCTGAGCAATAGCGACACCCCATCTCTCTACTAAATGTAGAAAGAAATTAATTGGCCAACTAATATATATAGAAAAAATTAGCTGGGCATGGTGGCGCATGCCTGTAGTCCCAGCAACTGGGGAGGCTGAGGCAGTACGATTGCTTAAGCCAAGGAGTTTGAGGTTGCTGTGAGCTAGGCTGACACCATGGCACTCCACTCTGCCTGGGCAACAAAGGAGACTCTGTCTTAAAAAAAAAAAAAAAAAATTAGCTGGGCATGGTGGTGTGAGCCTGTAGTCCCAGCTACTTGGGAGGCTGCGGTGGGAAGATCATTTAAGACCAGGAGTTTGAAGCGGTAGTGAGCTATGATTGCAGCACTGCACTCCAGAAGAGTGACAGAGCAAGACCCTGTCTCTAATAAAAAAAAAATGTACATGATTTTCCTTTTAACCTGTCATTTTGTAATCCTCTTTCATGGCAAAGACAGTATTTCTACTCACAGATAGAGAGAATGAAAGGGTCAGCAGTCTAACCCTTATTCCCTATATAAACTGTTCCCCTTATCCCCAACCTTTGTTAGAAGTATATAAAAACATGGCCCGGTGTGGTGGCTCATGCCTGTCATCCTAGCACTCTGGGAGGCCAAGGCGGGTGGATCGTTTGAGCTCAGGAGTTCGAGACCAGCCTGAGCAAGAGCAAGATCTCGTCTCTACCAAAAATAGAAAAGATTAGCCGGGCATGGTGGCACATGCCTGTAGTCCCAGCTACTCGGGAGGCTGAGGCAGAAGGATTGTTTGAGCCCAGGAATTTGAGGTTGCTGTGAGCTAGGCTGACACCACGGCACTCTAGCCCGGGCAACAGAGTGAGACTCTGTCTCAAAAAAAAAAAAAAAAAGAGAGAGAGAGAGAGAAATATATAAAAACAGGACCTGTGACCATATCTATGTACCCTGGAGAGCCCAGGACAATGTTAAATTTTATTCTCCCTAATATCTCTCACTAACTTTAAAATGTTAAATCATGACTGCCAAGGCCTTCAAAGTGCTTAGGTTCAGCTTTTGAGAACCACCCACGGAACTCACATGAAAAGCACCAGCTGGATGACAGGAGCCATTCGGAGTAACTCGGAGAAGGAATTGACAAAGAGGTCATAGGACAGCAGCAGGAACTGCAAGGAGAGCACCAGGCTGTAGTTACTGGTCTGGAGCATCTTCCTTTTGTTTTCTTGGGCCCCCAAGGGCTCATTCCACAATTCCCTAGAAAACACCTCGGTTCTCTTCCCACCACTGAGGGAGAGGTTTCTAGTTCCTCTGACTCAGAGCTGTTTTCCTTGTTCTAAGCAAGGGCCTGTTGAAGCAAAAAGAGAGGTAAGGTTAGAAATTCATTAATATAGTAAACATTTACTGAAAACCTAGGTGTGCCAGGCACCATTCCAGGTGCTTGGGATACCTTAGTGAACAAAACCAACAAACAAAAAACCCCAATAAGTCATTTCTTCTAGAGACCCTTATACGCTAAACCTTTCTCCATGTCTGGAACCTTCTAAGCGCAAAGCTCTTTCTAACCAAAGGAATCTGGTGGTATTACAGAGAAGAGTGACTGCTTGGTCCTGTAGTAGTAGTAGTAGTAGTAGTAGCAACAGTAATAGCAACAAACCCTTATATATCACTTACAATATGCCAGACACTATCCTAAGCATGAACATTGTTTAAACCTCACAATAACCTCATAGGCTTGAAGATACATTATTACTTTCCGCATTTTACAGATGAGAAAATTGAGGTCCGGAGAGGTAAAATAATTTGTCCAAGGTCACATAGCGATTAAGTGGCAGAGATGGGATTCAGATCCAGGCAGTCTGGGTCCAGAGTCCGTGCTTTTACTACTGCACTAAGTTGCCTCTTATGTAACTGATAGGCTGATATGTAACTAGGCAGGGAAAATGTCAGCACAGGAGAAGTGGGAAGTAGTGTAGGCAGAAAAGGTTGAGAGGAAATACTGCTCTTCTGTAAAACTTTATGTTTAAGGTTATGGTAGCAACAGAGTGGCACCAGGTGAGTGGAGCTGGGCCTTTATTTTCATATATTCGAAGACTCACATGTTGCTCTGGGGATGTCCTGTGACTCTTCGGCTGAATCAAATCTATAAACAAATTTCAAAATGCTTTGGATTGTCAGCGAGTGATTAACACTTATAAAATGTTTTACAGTTTACAAACTCTCTTCATATTTAAAAACTTAATCCTACAACCATCTTGAAAAGTAGCCATTATAATGCATATAGTCCCCATTTCACACAGAGGCTCTGAGAGGTTAAGGCACCTCATCCACCTCACCTGGCAGAGAAGTCCCACCTTACTGGATTATGATTGTGGTTATTCTGAGCCCGAGTTTCCTCATTCATTAAGTAATATTGATAGCTATCACCTAGGTACCAGCATCATGATAAACTTGTCAACTAATATAATTTCCTTTAATCCTCACAACAACTCTGCAAGGTGGGAATTATCCCCATTCTACAAGCCAGGACACAGGGGTCAGGGTTCAAGTCATTCCTCCAGGTCGCAAGTAAGCAGAGCCAGGATTCATAATTAGGTGTGACGCCAAACCCATGCTCTTAACCACTACTGCACAGGCCACTGCCGAGGGCTGTTGTGAGGATCCGTTATACAGAAATGGCCATGGCTCGCTCTACGATTGATCACCCCCTCCAGTTGAAGGCAGTGGTGATTCTCAAGGTAATGAAGCCTCCTCACAGTTCGTTCAGCGAGACCTGCAGCCTTGCCTTTGTCCCCAGAGCAGTATTCCTCACGCTTCCCAATCCACTTTAAAATGGAGTTGCCCTGGCAACAAAACCTAAACCAAAACAATAGCAACAAAAATTCTCACTTTTGGTCACTTTACCCATTCCTCATCATCCACGCTCACCTCCAAGACTCAACGTCGGTTGTCATGGGGACACCGTCCTGGCTTCCGGAAACTGGCTTTAAATTCCGGAAGTAGATGACAGACGCGAGCTCCGTCTGTGCCGCGCCTCTCACTCTGTGGCCAACTGGGCCGCCATGTTTGCGCCTTTCCTCTCCCGGGTCCGCCCTGTTCCGGGCCCCCCCTGCTTTCGGTCCTCCCAGCGTCGCCGCCAGCTGACCAGGCCTCCCGCCCACGCCGCGCCCAGCCTTGCGGAGAGCCGGCCCTTGGCGGGAGGCTTCGCGTCAACTCGAACATTTCCGCTTCGTCCCTCACCCGCTGGAGGCTGAGGGACAGGGCAGACGCGTCGCGGTACTCCTGGGCCTCGACTCCAGACACGAGGAAAACGCCCATGGAGGAACCAGAGTTGGGGTGGTGCGCTGGGAGCGAGCTAGCCCGGGGCTTCGGACTTCATTTCCCAGGCAGCCTCGCGCGCGCCCGGAAGTGCTGCGAGCCTATAAGAGCACGAGGCGGCGCATGTTGCTCAGTTCTGAGGCGGCGGTGTCACCTGGCTGTAGGTGTCCGAGAGTCCTCCATCTCCCTGGAGCCTCGGGAGCTGCAGCTCGGGCGCAGGGTGGCGAGAGGCGGATTCCGGAGGCCCTGGCCCGCTGCGTCCTACTGTGGTTAGGGGTGAGAAAGAGGTCGGGCTGGGAGCTCAGGGACCTGGGTTTCAGTGCTGGCTCTGCTGCTTCCTCGCTTCGCGCTGTGGCGATCCTCTCGCTTGACCTCAGTTTTCTCTTTTAGGAAATGGGTACCTTTCTCCGCACCCTTCCTTCCAAGGTGGTGGTTGTAAATGGCACGATAGCTCTTCGGAAGGCGCAGAAAGCAGGAGGAGCCCCTTGCCCCAATTTTCACCCAATGTTAGCCTACACCAAGCGCCCAGTTGGGTCAGGGATCCGACTTCGGATGCCTGGAACGGGTCTTTTTAGGACACCTGAGCCAGCCAGATCTGTGCAGTCAGAAGGACGGATGTCTAATTATTCTGGTGCAAAGGAGAACCTTCCTTACCCACCTCCTGGCTGTAATATTGCGCCCCTCACTCCTGAGTTCTGACTTTAACAGAAGCTACATTTATTTTTTTGTTTTGTTTTTTTGAGACAGAGTCTCACTCTGTTGTCCAGGCTAAAGTGAGTGCCGTGGCGTCAGCCTAGCTCACAGCAACCTCAAACTCCTGGGCTCAAGCGATCCTGCTGCCTCAGCCTCCCGAGTAGCTGGGACTACAGGCATGTGTCACCATGCCCGGCTAATTTTTTCTATATATATTAGTTGGCCAATTAATTTCTTTCTATTTATAGTAGAGACGGGGTCTCACTCTTGCTCAGGCTGGTTTCGAACTCCTGACCTCGAGCAATCCGCCCACTTCAGCCTCCCAGAGAGCTGGGATTATAGGCGTGAGCCGCCTCGCCCAGCCCAGAAGCTACATTTGAAAATAAGGAGCCCTCGGAGCTGAAGGGGAGTGGATCTGAATTCCTGCGCTAACTCTGCCACTCACCTTGGCTGAGTCACTTTCCTTCTTTGGGCCCCAGTGTTAGTGTTTTTGATCTATGAGATAAGGATTTAGGATTTGTACTGTAAGTCTGGTTCTCAGGATTCTTAAAGTACCCCCATCCATTTGGGTAGGGGGAGAAACAAACTGATTTTTTTGCCCCTTCATCTATTTGTAGTTGTAAATTATAAAAGTAACATTGCAATAGTTTGGAATAGAACCTTTTTCTGAGTCTAAGGGATGGATGAAAATACCTATTTCTTACCCCTGGGCCTGACCTGTTTTAGCTCAGCCTGGAAGAATCCTTTCTGCCAAGGAATTGAGGAGAGTATTAGGTTGGAGAGTAGACTCCTAAGATCAGGATCAATGAACTACAACCCACAAGCTAAATGTGCCCCACCTGAACAGTTTTTACATGATCAAATGATTGAAAAAAAATGAAAAGGATAATATTTTTGTGACATGATAATTATATGAAACTCAAGGTTTCACTGTTCATAAGTAAAATGTTATTGGAACACAGCCATGCTCATTTGTTAAGATATTGTCTATGGCTACTCATGTATCACATCAACAGAGTTGTGACAGAGACCATGTTTCCTACAAAGCCTAAAATATTTACAACCTTACCCTTTACAGAAGAGTTTGCTGACCCCTGCCTTAAAATAGGGATCTACGAAATGAGGGCAGAACAGAAGACTGTGGCAAGCACATCCTGAGATCATAGCCCAGCCTGTGCTCTTAGAACAAATAAGAGGGTATTATCAGCATTTGCCTTGCAATTTTCACTGCATTCTTCCTTTTCTCCTGTTTCGCTCTCTATTTCAGTAATAAGCAGGGTTTATCTATGTACTGTGAGCAGAGCAGTATAACTTCACAGCCCTCTGTCAGGAAAGTGTCCCACCATCCATTGTAGGTCTGTCACAGAACAGCAATCCAGGACCCCTTCTAGGGGCATGGATACAGTCCCTTTTGGGCTATATTTACATTTCCTTTTATAACGGAAAAAAACAAGTTATAGATATTATCAGATCGATGGAGCCTGCTGAGCAAGAGCTCCTGAGTGCTGACTTAACATTTCACTGGAGGATGGAGGGTGTTTTAACTGAACATCAGGTGACCTGAAACTTCCTCTGCTCTTGTAGGAATTATTGGTGTGAGGGGGAAGCAGCTTCAAGGATGGGTAGCAAATTTCTGAGCTGAGTAGTCAAGTCACAAAGCTTCTAGGAAACTGGTGGCATGATTTTCTCTTGCCAGCCTCATGGAAGCTTGTATTTTTTCCCACAGCCCTTGCACCTTCCTTTCTCAGAGAATACTGCTAACTTAGGACATCTATGAGAGCCCAGCATCGGTTCCTGGTTAGGTGGACACCTGGCAAGGGGAGAGGTGGCATGGCATTGCTCAGGGCTGTTGAGGGGCCTAAGCAGGCATGGGAACCACGAACTTTAGGTTTTTCTTAGTAGTTATGAATAAAATGCTGTGACAGCAATAACTAAGAAGAGTTACAATGTTTGGCTCCAACCTGATTTTCTGACAACCTGCGGTCAAGGAAAAATCATGGGTCTTGAAGCCAAATAGTCAATAGTTTGAAACTCCCTGCCCATTCACTGGGTCCTGATGCTATTTAATCTTTCTGAGCCTTAGTGTCTTCATTTATAAAATGGGGATAAAGGGTTGTCAGATGGGACCATGTGTGTAAGGTTCCAGCACTCATACCTGGTATTTAATAAATACTATTCTTATTGCCATGCCTTTCTTTCAGACGAGTACTCTTGAGTTCTGCAGATGTTAAGTGATTTGCTCAAGGTGCCCTCTTCATGATATTTGGAGCCCAGGCCACCATCCTGTCAGCCTGCCATTAGGTTTAAAGGTCAGCAGTCACATGTTTTATCTCCTTGGGAGTTATTGGCTACTGTTCTCTGTTAGCTGGTTCTCAGAGTGAGGGACTTCAACTGCAGGAGGCCACACTGTTGCCTTCTTAGCATGAGTATATGGGACAGGGTGACTGCCTTGAGGCCTGGCCCAAGCAGGGGCCGTCTTGTGGCTTTGCCCACTTGCCTGTCTTTTTTTTTTTTTTTTTGAGACAGAGTCTTGCTTTGCTGCCCAGGCTAGAGTGAGTGCCGTGGCGTCAGCCTAGCTCACAGCAACCTCAAACTCCTGGGCCCAAGTGATCCTGTTGTGTCAGCCTCCCAAGTAGCTGGGACTACAGGCAAGCGCCACCGTGCCTGGCTAATTTTTTTCTATATATATTAGTTGGCCAATTAATTTCTTTCTATTTATAGTATAGACGGGGTCTTGCTCTTGCTCAGGCTGGTTTCAAACTCCTGACCTCGAGCAATCCGCCCGCCTTGGCCTCCCAGAGTGCTAGGATTACAGGCGTGAGCCACCGCACCCGGCCACACTTGCCTGTCTTTTAAAAGCAACTCCTAGCCTGGCATGATGCCTCACGCCTGTAATCCTAGCACTCTGGGAGGCCAAGTCAGGTGGATTGCTCAAGGTCAGGAGTTCGAGACCCGCCTGAGCAAGAGTGAGACCCCGTCTCTACTATAAACAGAAAGAAATTAATTGGCCAACTAAAAATATATATAGAAAAAATTAGCCAGGCATGGTGGTGCATGCCTGTAGTTCCAGCTATTCGGGAGACTGAGGCAGGAGGATCCCATGAGTTCAGGAGTTTGAGGTTGCTGTGAGCTAGGCTGATGCCACAACACTCTAGCCTGAACAACAGAGTGAGACTCTAAAAAAAAAAAAAAAAAGAAAGCTTCCCGGTGAAGCAGATTAACCAAATAAAATTTAAAAAAGCAACTCCTTAAGGGCTTAAGCGTTTGCCATGCTCGAAACCAGAGTTGGTTTCTGAGTTTATTTACCACATGTGGAAATCTCAAAATAAACCTCTTGCTTTCTAGACCATGAGTTTTTGCTTCCTCTTTTCTTCTCTGGACTTTCCCCAGAGGTGGGGAAAGCAGAAGTCTCAGGCCTGGAGACAGCTGAGGGCTATCACACAACTCAACCATCTGCAGTGTGGGGTCTGGAGTGGTGGCCTGATCTCACCTCCCCTGTGAAGATTAGCCCCACAGTTCACCATCTGGGGAAGAACTTTCATGTAGAAGTGGGAGCCCATAGGACTTCTTCCCCGCTAGCACAATAGTAGTGTGTTTGCCCATTTCAGATGGTGATTTTTGCCTCCTTACATTAAAATCCAGGGCCTGGGCATTTGTGTGATCCATCCTGGATTATGATTCCTGTCTCTTCTTTCCTGGGGGTGCTAATTCTTTACCTTCTGGTCCTGTGAAGGAAGACTCATCCCAGGACTCTGTTCCTAAGGCCTTGGCATCTGGCCTTCTCCAGGGCCAGCCATAGACCTGAACTTGCTGCTCTGTGACTGCCAGGTGCTGGGGGAGGGGCTCACTCACTGTCTGTAACCAGAGATCCGTCAGGCCTCATGGGGACAGTACCCGGGCTGATGACAGGGGCACTGAAGCAAAAAGATTCCATCCCATGGGCCAAGAGCGAGGTCAGTGTTACTTCCTTTAGCTAGTGTTAGGGGCACACTTGGACTAACGGGGACTTGTGACTTTTGCTTCTTCTAGGAGCGCCTGATCAGAATGGCTTCAGGGTGGTTTTACCTGTCCTGCCTGGTGCTGGGGTCCCTGGGCTCGATGTGCATCCTCTTCACTGTCTACTGGATGCAGTTCTGGTGTGGCGGCTTTGCTTGGGATGGCAGCACCCACACGTTCAACTGGCACCCGGTGCTCACAGTTGCCGGCATGGTGGTGTTCTACGGAGCTGGTGAGTAAGAGGTCAGCAAGGGAGGCGTGATACGGCTCAATCCTGGATTGGGCAGCCTTTCCCTCTCCCAGACTGGCCTTTGTCAGTGTTGGGTTTGAGGCTATAGGGGTGGGGGGTGGGGCTGCCGCTAGGCCCAGCTGTCTTGGAGGAGGAAGCGGCAAGTGTGCGAGCATCTCAGAAGGGCAGCTTCACAGATACTCTAGGGCGGGGTCGGCAAGCTTTTGTGTAAAGGGCCAGATAGTAAATATTTTAGGCTTTGCCGGCCATAGACTCTGTGTTGCAGTGACTCAACTCTGCCACCGTGTTGTGAGGACACTGAGGCGTAGAAAGAAGAGGCCAAACAGCTAAGAGGCAGAGCCCAGATTTGGACCTAGGTTGTTGTCTGACCTTGATGCCTCTTCCTGACAACCAGCTTCAGTTGTGAGAGTGCAGTGTGATCAAGTAATGACTGTGACAGTGTTTTTTAGCCTGGAAACCGCATATAGGCTGCACTTACAATTATCGTGATGACAGAACGCAGGTCTAAGAAATCTGCCCCTCCCTTCATGGCTGACCGCTGTCCCACAGAGGATGAGAGGATAGAAGATGACAAGGAGTTGATACCAGTGTCCTAGCATTTCCCCTTCCCTCGTTGGCAGGCTGTGTGGGATCGTCTCGGGGTAACTGCCCTGATGTGTGGGTGAGCACAGGGCAAGAGGCTGAGTCCTGGGACTGCTCTCTCTCCTGCAGGGTCGCTGGTGTACCGCCTGCCCCAGTCGTGGCTGGGGCCCAAGCTGCCCTGGAAGCTCCTCCACGCAGCCCTGCACCTGATGGCCTTCAGCCTCACTGTCATGGGGCTGGTTGCTGTGTTTAAGTTTCACAACCACAACCACATCGCCAACCTCTACTCCCTGCACAGCTGGCTGGGCATCACGGCTGTCTTCCTCTTCGCCTGCCAGGTGGGTTCCCACTGCCAGGCCTGGCCGCTGTGGGACCAGACATTCCCTCTGCTCGTTGTCTGGAGAGGGCCTTGCAGGGCACATCCTGTAGAACCGGCAGTTTAAAGGGCTGTGGGGGTCGGTGGCTCCAGCACTTACCCTGTTCCTCTCGCCCATCCCTCTGCCCGTCTGTGCTCCCAGGGCCCCTGTGCTGACTGCGTGTGCCACGCTGGCTCTCGGCGGCCATCTGGTTTCCACTTTCCGTATTCCTACCTCTTTGACCCAGAAGCGGTTTCCATATTCTTTTTTTTTTTTTTTTTTTTTAGACAGAGTCTCGCTTTGTTGCCCAGGCTAGAGTGAGTGCCGTGGCATCAGCCTAATTCACAGCAACCTCAAACTCCTGGGCTCAACCAGTCCTGCTGCCTCAGCCTCCTGAGTAGCTGGGACTACAGGCATGCGCCACCATGCCCGGCTAATTTTTTCTATATATATTAGTTGGCCAATGAATTTCTTTCTATTTATAGTAGAGATGGGATCTCGCTCTTGCTCAGGCTGGTTTCGAACTCCTGACCTCAAGCAGTCCGCCCGCCTCGGCCTCCCAGAGTGCTAGGATTACAGGCGTGAGCCACCGCGCCCGGCTGGTTTCCATATTCTGATGTCAGGCCTGTATAGTGAGGAGTTTTAGGAGCGAGGACTGAGACAAACAAGGCTGCTGGGTTTGCTGGGCGAGCGGGATTGGTCTTGTTGCTGGCATGATAGCAACAGACAGCGTGGTGAGGAAGCGAGGCGTGGCGGCGGGCAGTATCTGGGGGAAGGTTTGCGCTGGGAAAGAAGGGCCGAGGTACGGCAACAGGAGGTGCCGAAGCGGTGGGGTGACCTGGTGCGCTTTTGTTCACACACAGTACAGTAAGGTGCGTCCTCCCTTGTGTCCGCAGTGGTTCCTGGGCTTTGCCATCTTCCTCCTGCCCTGGGCGTCCCTGTGGCTGCGCAGCCTCCTTAAACCCATCCACGTCTTCTTCGGAGCCTCCATCCTCTCTCTGTCCATTGCGTCTGTCATTTCCGGCATCAATGAGAAGCTTTTCTTCGTTTTGTGAGTGCAATGAGGTCCCCGCCTCTGAGGTGGAGGGGAGGCAATAGGGTCTTCAAAATATGCACCCTAGGCCGGGCGTGGTGGCTCACGCCTGTAATCCTAGCACTCTGGGAGGCCGAGGTGGGCGGATTGCTCGAGGTCAGGAGTTCGAAACCAGCCTGAGCAAGAGCGAGACCCCATCTCTACTATAAATAGAAAGAAATTCATTGGCCAACTAATCTATATATATACAAAAAAAAAAAAATTAGCCGGGCATGGTGGCGCATGCCTGTAGTCCCAGCTACTTGGGAGGCTGAGGCAGCAGGATTGCTTGAGCCCAGGAGATTGAGGTTGCTGTGAGCTAGGCTGACGCCATGGCACTCACTCTAGCCTGGGCAACAAAGGGAGACTCTGTCTCCAAAAAAAAAAAATATGCACCCTAGGATCGTAGGACCCACCCAAGGGAAGAGAACTTTGGGGTTGAGCCCGTTCCTGATCTGGAAGGTAACGGAATTGATCTTTCTTTAGGTCGGGATTGGTAAATTGGTCAGCAGATATTTATTGACAGCAGGTTGATTTAGCACCTACTATGTGTCCGAAACTGTTCTAAGCACCTTACATTTAATCCTCTCACTTTCCCTACAACATTGGTGTTGTCATTTCCATTTACAGATGAGGGAACAGAGAGGTCGAGTAACTTATCTAAGGGCACACAGCCAGTAAATGGCAGAGCTGGGACTCAAGTAAGGCAGTCTGCCTCTGGAGCCTGCATGCCTAAACACCACTGCCCATACTTTAAGAGCAGTGCAGCATAATGAAAAGCAACTAAGATCTGAGGTCAGCCTGGGTTTAGATCTTAGCTATGTCTTTTACTGGTTATGTAACTTTGGGCAAGTTAATTTTGCCACTTTGAGCTTCAGTTTCCTCTGGGGTAAAAAGCATTATACAATTGGGCATGGTGGCATGTGCCTGTAGTCCAGCTACTGAGGAGGCTGAGCTGGGAGGATTGCTTGAGCTCAGAAGTTCAAGTCCAGCATGGGCAACATAGAAAAAAAAGCAAAAAAGCATTATACAGATACTTGTTGCTGTGGCAGAGACTTAGAAAGTATATTTAAATTCCAGGTCACAGGTGGCCCTGGGAAGGTGTTCTCATCTTCCCTTAGTGGCATTGAGTCTCCTACTGGGAAAAAACAGGTAGAAAAGTCTCTCAAGGGCCCACATTGTTTTGTCATCTTCAGGAAAAACGCCACCGAGCCGTACTCCAGCCTGCCCAGCCAGGCTGTCTTTGCCAACAGCACTGGGATGCTGGTGGTGGCCTTCGGGCTGCTGGTGCTCTACATCCTTCTGGCGTCCTCTTGGAAGCGCCCAGAGCCAGGGATGCTGACTGACAGACAGGTATGGTTTCCTGCCCCCATTCCAGGCGGGGGAGGGCTGGGTCTAGAGAAAGGTCACCGAGCAAAGGCTCAGGCCTTGCCAAGAAAGCCAGTGTGGTCGCACGGTGGGAAACCAAGCAGCTGGAAGGTAGCGTTACAGAGGCTGACGGGGAGCACTGGTACCAAACCAGCCCATCCCAGTGAAGCCCTGGGGCTCTCAGGGGCCTGTCCACCGGGAGACAGAAGTCCCCTCCCGAGATTCCTGTGCTTCCGTGAAGTGTGGCCTTATCTTCACCTAGGAAGGGCTCGAGTATGACGGGTCTGCAGTGATTTCCCCTTGAGCAGCTTTGGGGCTTGTCTAATGGGACCAGTGCTTGGCGACAAGCTTGTGCTTGGAACAGGTCTTTATGGGATGTAGGAGACGGGTTGTGTGCCAGGCTCAGAGACTTTGGGGTTTCGTGAAGGATTTGGAGGCTTGGGCGGGTACCACCCTGCAGGTCAGGGGTCTATCTGAACAGCTCAGGCTTGGTGTGTCTCCTGCAGGGCAGGGGCTATTTTGACATAGTGTCATTAACTCTGGTGCATCTATCTGTTTCTCCAGCCCCTGCTGCATGATGGGGAGTGAAGTGGGGGCGCCCAGGAGCACCCAGTGGTGTGCTCTGTGCTCCCCTCAGAAGCTCTGCTCTACCTGGGGCATCCAACTGGTGTCGGCAACAGACTTTGTAGGGCTCTGGGCCCACGCTGCTCCTTGCCTCGGTGCTGGGCCTCCTCTCTCCGGCCACTTGCTGCCTGTCTACTTTTCTGGTGGCTTCAACTTCTGTACCCTTCTTGGCATCGACTTCTCAGGTCCTCCACTTACACAAGGTCCTCCTTGCCCTGGCCGCTCCTGCAGCCCCTGCGTCCCCTAACATCTCCTTGGGCTCGTGGGAAGTCCCCACAGCTCAGAAGAGCCAGGACTCAAGTGCAATCCATGACGTGGAAAAGGAGGGAGGTGACACACCCGTCAGCTTTCCCTCGAAGGCAGCAGTTCAGTTAGCTGCCCTGCCACAGAGCAGCTGTCCCCATCCAGCCCCTCCTGGATGTGAGTCACGTCACGAGGTGACCACAGGAGAAGGGGAGAAGGGCAGCAGATGCAGCTTCCGCAGAGGAGCTGAGGAGCTGACCACTCTGAGCCCTGTGTCACTGCGTTTGTGCCTGTGTGTGTTGTGACTGTGTGGCTCCACCTCTTCCAGCTGCTGCTACAGCCGAGGCGTGGATCCCTGTCTCTTCTTGTGACTTACATGCCTGTCACCACCAGCCAGCCCGACGAACCCTGCTCTCCCAAGAACAGACCACCTGTCTCCAGATGTCCCAACAGTGACGAGTGACAGAGGTGGCTGTGGACTTTACTTCTCCTTGCTGGGTCCTGCCCTGGCCCTGCTGATCACTCTCCAGCTCTCTATAAAACTGGTGCCGAAGTTGTGGTCTTCTATGTCCAGCAGAGCCCTGGGAGCCACTGCCACCCTCACAGGGGTTCCTTGCTGAGAACCAAAGCGCTTCACCTGCCCCTACAATGGCTGCACACCTGGCTAAACCCAGTCTTCTGTGTCGTGTCTGAGTGCCAGCTATTGCTCCTTCCCCTGAAGGAGCTGGGCTGCGGAGGGAGCAGCCTCAGTCCTCTCCTAAGTGTCACTGCTGTGGCTTTTCTTGCCTTTTCCAAACAAGCCCTGCCAGATCCCAGGCCCTATACTGCTGTGCTTGGTAGACAAGTGGGAAGCCTGGGTTTGGAGCCTGCCTACTTGGCAGGCAGGTAGCGATGAGGCCGACTGTCCAGCCCAGCCCCACACTGCCAGATGTTAGCAGAAGGGCCAAGACTGAACTTCCTGATTGGATGATGCCTTTAAAGCCATTGGGATGACTGCCAGCCACTGTGCTCACGTGAAAGCGCCCCTTTCCATGTGTGTAGGCATTTCGTTGGTTCATAAAGCTTGATTTTTCATTAAACATGTTTTTAAGAATCAAAGCTGTTTTAGTCTGTTTGGGCTGCTATAACAAAAATATTATAGGCCGGGCGCGGTGGCTCATGCCTGTAATCCTAGCACTCTGGGAGGCCGAGGTGGGCAGATCACTCGAGATCAGGAGTTTGAAACCAGCCTGAGCAAGAGCGAGACCCCATCTCTACTATAAATAGAAAAAAATTAATTGGCCAACTAATATATATAGAAAAAATGAGCCAGACATAGTTGACGCATGCCTGTAGTCCCAGCTACTCGGGAGGCTGAGGCAGGAGGATTGCTTGAGCCCAGGAGTTTGAGGTTGCTGTGAGCTAGGCTGACGCCATGGCACTCACTCTAGCCTGGGCAACAAAGCGAGACTCAAAAAAAAAAATAGACTGGATGGCTTCAACACCAATCATTTGTTTTTCACATTTCTAGATGCTGGAAGTCCAAGGTCAAGGCACTGGTAGATTCGGTGCCTGCTGCGGGCATTTCCTGTAGACCATCTTCTCGCTGTAACATCACAGGGTGGAAAGAGCACGAGAGCCTGGGGGCCTAGATTAGATCAGGATTCCACCCTCATGATCTAGTCACCTCCCAAAGGCCCACCTCCTAATACCATCACGTTAGGGGGGAGGATTTCAACATAGGAATTTTGGAGGACACAAACATTCAGTCTGTAATGATAGCCCTGTCTGATGAAATGCACTGCAGTTAAGTAAGTTCTGGGGCAACGTGATAAAGCCTCAGTACAGGTCTGACCCTCACAGACCCAGGGAAGGGCCAATGGGAAGGCACCGAAGAGCCACGTAATTGTCTTCATGGACCAACCTGTGACTCATTTATGTGTGGATGCCCTTAATAGCTAATGACTTTTGAGTACTTGATTATCTCATGAGGAAGGCAAATTTTCCTGTTTACAATCTGGAAAACAGGGCTCAAACAGGGTAAGTGACTGGCCTGAGATCACCCAGCCAGGGAATGGCAGAGTTGGGATCCACAGGCCCTGTGTGGCGCTAGCCTCCTTCCCAGCCCTGGGGACATAACCCTGGGCACGCAGGTGCTTGGCGCATGCTCAGGGATGTGTGGTGCAGGTGATGACCCTGGGGAGGGAAGCCCAGGGCTGAGGAGCTTGCAGCCAAATCTGGACCAGGTAGGTGATGCTAGTGTGACAGACGGTGGTGGAGTGCTGACACCGGTAATGTCAGTAACTCCCAGGGAGTGGACACTTGGACTGTGTTGGGGCTTCACCTTTGCCAACTCATCTGAATCCTTTCATGTCCTGGTGAGCTGGTACCATGTGATTTTACAGATTCCAAGAAACTAAATAGTAGGCCTGAGTTCTCATAGCTTGGTTACTGCAAAACCAGCTTGCAAATCGTGTGTGTGTCCAAACCCAGTGCCTTTAACCACGCCCCACACTGAGGACGCACCAGGTGTGCTCTGTACGTCTCCACCGCACGCCACAGTCGGCATCCTCCTGCCCAAGTGCTGTCAGTGGGGGCTGGTTGGGCTGCAGTTTCTCGGCTACAACTGAACCTTAAAATATGGTGACTTCTTTTCCTTCTGGTGTCCCAAATGTCCATTCAATTCCCAAGGAATTATTAATATTAACTCAGTGCTGAGAAAAGCCCTCTCCCATTCCTACATGTATGAGTCGTGACGTGTGTACTGGAAGGAGGACAGCAGCAGATCCCAGCCGAACCAGCCCAGCTGAGCAGGCCCTGCCTTTGGGGTGCAAGTGGTGGTGCGCTGCCTGGTAGAAAACGGGTCACGATCACAGCAGCCAGGGCTGCAGCTCAGCCCCTGGGCATCTGTGGGCCAACTTGGTCACACACTTGGCAAAAGGTCCTTCAGAGGAAGCAGGAGCTTTATTGCTTGACCATGCTCTGTTAGCTTTTCTTTTCCAATTGACTGGGGTTCCAGTGCAGAAGGCCTTTCACAGGGAGTCTTTAAACCAAACAGCACTGCCAGTTACAAGCTGTGCTGTGGCTCAGGGAAAATGCCTTATCTCTGAAACCCACAGCTGGCTGGGACAGGGTGAGGTGACCCAGGGACTCTACCCTCTCGAGGAGGGAAAGGGCAGAGTTGGAGAGGCCCATGCCCTACTCGGCTTGCTCTGGCTGCCGTCTCTGCAGTGGAGTAGCTCTGGAGGCTTGCTGGAGCAGTTCCTGCGGAACTCGAGAGTTGGGGGGAACAGGCCATGGGGCTTGGGAGGGGAATGGTGATGGTTGGAAGGCAGAAGGGGGGTGACAATGGCCACCTCAGCACAGCAGCGAGAGGAGCTGAAGCTCAGGAAAGCAGTCACACACCCTGTTTCTGCAAGACCTCCAGGATGGCACGGAGAATGGCGGCAGCTGCCACTGCCCCAGGGTCCGGCTGGTCCAGCCGAGCAGAGCTGATGTAACTGGCTCTTCCAGCTCCGGCTTCCATATTCTTGGTGGCCTCGGCTGCAGCTTCAGCACTCTGAGGGGGCAGGAGTGGAAGGAGGCTCAGGGCAGGCCCACAGGTCTCTCCTTCCTGCCGTGGCAGAGTGCTGTGCAGGGTGGCCCTGGACCCTCTTGTCACATCTCTGCCAGCACCGTCTGCAGTGTCACCACGTGAAAGGTTGCCTTTCATCTACTTCTAGCAGGGAAAGGGGCCACCATTTACTGAGGCCCTACTAAGTCCCCGGCACTGTACTGGGCTCTACATACCTCCTTAGCCTCACAGCAGCCTTCTGAGATAGATGCTCATCTCCGTTTTATAGAGGAAGAAACTCAGGTGCAGGCAGGTTATTAACGTGCTCAAGGTCACATAGACATGAGCACCTGGTCCGTCTCCAAGTCTGTCTCCCCAGGTGGCTGGGCCCTGCCTCACTCACCTTGACTGCTTTGGTTAGGACTTGGAACAGATCGGCCCCTGGGCTCTTCCAGGCGTGGAGCTCCTGTCCTGCCGCCCACAGAGAATCCAGCTGGAAAAGGTGAGGGAGAGGGGGGTTGAGGAGAGGCCCTGCCACTGAGGGTGGCCTTTAGGGCTTATAGGCTCAAAAGGGGAAGGGCTGGGGCTACAGCCCAAGTACACACCATAGTCCTGTCTCCTGGGGCAGCCTTTCCATATCTGGGAGGGAAAGAGAATGAAAGAGGCTTACTGCAGGAGCCAAGGGACTCACTCTGGGGGTGAGGCCAGGGCCTTCCAAGGAGCAGATGACATTGACCACTTCCCCCAGCCCACCCTGGTCTAAGGCACAGGGCGCTGGCTCACTTCTGCATGGCCTCCAGGCCGGCATCCATAGCAGCAGACCAGGCCGGAAGGTCAGTCTTGGCCTTGAGGGGCTGGGCAGCTGCAGTCAGGAACAGGCCGTAGATCTGGGGAGGGCGAGAGTGCTGAGCATCCCAGCCTGGACCCGGGCTCTTGGAGCCTTCCCCATCAGCCCTTCAGCCCTGGGGCTGCCAGCACCCACCGCCCCAGAGGAGCCTCCCATCTTCTCCAGCAGCAGGATGGACAACTTGGAGAGCAGCTGCGCAGGGCTGTCAGGGGGTGGGCCCTCCTTCAGCCACCCTTGGATCGCTGCAGGCAGAGAGAGACAGTGAGGAATTCAGAGACCTCCCCTCCATCTGCCTGGAACCACTGAGCACCCAGGCCTGACTGCCAGCCAGAGTGAATGGGGGCTGCAAGGGGACAAGAGGGGACCAGGATGAAGGGATCACAAGGCTGTCTTTCCACACCCAGTGTGCAGCCTGGAGCAGGGCTGGCAATGGGAACTGAAGGGACCTTGGAAGTCGCCCAGCAGGTGAAGCCTGCCTCAACACCCTCAGGTTGACATTCTTACTCTGCTTCCTTGCTTTGTTTTGTCCCCCAGCCCTCTGCACTAATGGCTGTGGGTTTCACTGATTTCTATTGTTTACTCTGTCTCTCCTCCCAGCACGAGGGCCACGAGGCAGTGATTCCTGTCTGCTCTGCTCACTGCTATATCCACAGAGCTGAGGGCAGTGCCTGGCCCATGGCAGGTACTAAAGCTAAGAGCTTTTCACTGGTCTAGGTAAACTGAGAAAAGGACAACAGAATGCATTTTCCTTCACTTGTAAGTTATTCACTGTCAAGGATTGTTTATTTCTGAGATAATGACTTCCTACTTGTAGCATAGAAGGTCCTTTTCTTTAGGAAAACAGGTGACAGGGGTGCTAGGGTTATGTGAATGACCTCACTTGGCAAAGTAAAAGTTGGCAACTCCAAGTCAGCACTCAAATGTTTTGGAAATTGTTCTGTTTCATGAAATGCTAAAATCTAGGACCCAGTATGCCTGCCATACCACCCCCACTCGGGACCACACAGGGGCCTTGGTACCAACCTCTGGCTGCACGGCTGTGGGTGGTACCACAGTCCCCGTCACCAGCAGCCCGGTCCAGGGCGTTCAGATGTTCCTCCAGGCCCAGGAGGGTGGCACACACCTGTTCCAGCACAAGTGCCATCCGCTTCGAGGCTACGCCTAGAAAGGGAAAATGGCAGGGATGAGAGCCTGCCCAGCCCTCCTCATGACCAAACAATCAGAGTGGGAGGCATGGGTGCCAGGGCCCCGGTGTGCCCCACTGCACAGCCCTGTGTACTTTGGGAGTCCTGCCCTCTCCCCAACAGCAGGGCTTGGTACCTCCTGCTGTAGTGGAACCAGGGGCCTCCGGGGGCTCCCTGGGGGCTGCCCGGCTCCGCTTCCGCCCCGTCACAGGGACCTTGGCCACGTTAGGCCAGGCTGCTGCAGTGGTTTCAGCATCTAGGACAGCAAGATGACTCTCTTAGACTCGGGTGTCAGCCAGGCATTAAGCAGAGCTCCCTCAGCAGCCCCAGAGGAAGAGAGTCCATCTCAACAAGTATGTACTGAGTGTCTAGTGTGTACAAGGGGAAGGAAGGAAGGTCCCTGGGGAAAGGGTCAGGCTGATGCAAGGAGGATCCTAAACCAACACTCCATAGTCCAGGGAGGGCCAGAGAAGACTGGAGAAGCCAGAAAGGGTCAGGGTCAGCCCTGTTAGGCTCTCTACAAGCTCCCTGGCTC